AGTTATTCTCCGCTCAGCATTCAAACAGCACGTCACGTTCAGTTATGACAGTCAGCATGGTAAAACTCTCTCTCCAAGATGATATATTCCCATTATAATACTTGATGTGTAGGTCTGGGGAGTCGCATAAAATGATATCTTGCTGGAGTTCACTGCTCTCTCATCTCTCTTCTCTTGTAAAGTTACCGTGTGGAGTGCAGCGCTCTGTGACTTATGTTGCTTCAAACACATCATTCGAGAAGGGTCTGGCTGCAGACCTGCACTTGCACTGAGTCATCTGCGCTTCCTCTGCAAGTGACGTCACTTGCAATGGACACCTGCAGTCTTCGGTACCTGCTACGTCACTTGCAATCGACACAAATAAACCGGAAATAACAGTTTCCAGTCGTTCATTCGCGTTGCCAATAAAGACGCTGTATGATGCTGTTAAATGATTTAAAGTACTTTAGAACTATAACGAGACAGAAACGTTTCCCCCAAAAAGTTATTTTTTGCTGCTTGTTTATCGTAGGATTATAATATTGTACTTTAGCATTAAAGTAGGCTACGACTATTTAACATTTATACCAGCAAAACATATCATTATCAAAGCTACAAAAGAACTATCAGGTCTAAATAGCAACACAAAAATATCTTCCAAAATTATGGATTAAAAAAAAAAAATCAGGCTGATGCAAATTTTAATTTAATTTAATTTAATTTTAAGCCTGTTACAAGGAGACAGACTATTTACAACTATTAACTATTTTTATTATTGGATAAACTGACATTAGTTTTAGAAAATAGTACAATATAAAAATAAATAAAAGTTAAGAACAGTTCCATAACAAATAAAAACAGAAGAATGAATGCAAAGAAGCACATTATGTATTTTCTTCTGTTTCAGTTCGACAGAATATTTTCAGATTCATGACATCAATTACATGTTCAAGGAACAAGTTCATGTCCTTCATCTCAGTAAAGAAAAAGCTGAAAGGTTCCAGAGCAACAATTCTGTCCTTTGAAAATTCAGCCGTCTGTAATTTGTCCAAGGCCTCATCAACATCTTCGTCCTCCATACAGAGTACTTTGGGCAGCTGAACAGAACCAAGCAGCACACTTGACTGTTCCAAACACCACTTGCTGGCTTCCTTTAAATCTCCCATCAATCGATTCTGTAAAATAACACAAAGAACAAAGGAGATACAATTGTAAAAAACAAAAAGCATTAATTCAGTACTGTTCAAAAAACAAAAAGAAACAATTACTTTGACTTTGTTGCTAATCCTGTAACACAACTTTACCTCTTGTGATGATTCAAGCAGTACATCCTCCAACACAGGATGCAGTACATTTATACTTGCATCATCTGCCTAACAATTTATAAAATACAAGCAGATGAATATTACATTTGAGTGTGTTAATTTTAAAACTTCATATTTATAGAGAATTTGCATTCTGTCTGACCCACTACACAATATATATACCTGTGATGATGATTCCGGAACCCAATGCTGTGGCTCCTCCTGTTAGTCAAACACCACAGTATAAGCAAACATTCACAAGGTACCATGACATTTTATGTGTCATTTTCTCAAGTAAATGCTTTTACCTGAAAGGTGTCCTCTAGCTTCCTTTTCCTTAGTCTCAAAACAGGCTGCCAATCACCCATTAGTACGGCTTTAGACTCCTCAGTGAAGTGTGCAAAAACCTTTCCGTGGCTGTAAAAAGTGATAATATAATTACACATTGTTCCATAATTTGTTTATATCCATAAAATATACTTTTTTTAATTACCGGTATAAGAAATACTGTACCTATTCAGCCCATAGTTCTCCATTAACATCACACACCACCATTTCCGCAGTTCTGGCATGTTCAGCTGCTCATAACATGCAAGTTAATACCCCTTTAAATATTTTAATCACACTGACTCAACATTATTGTAAACAAGTACTTACAATTGTGTAGTCAAATGAGGAATCCATCACCATGTAAAATGCAGACTATACAGGAAAAATCATTGAGAAAAAAAAAAGGATTAAAAACAGCCAGAGGATAAACAACCAACCAACAAACAACAAAAAATTATCTTACCATTAACATAAAGACACCACAGTCATTGCCATAAGTTTGACCTGGAAACCCCTTTAATACAACAAAAGAAAGATGAGTGAATACAATATTTCAAAAAGTAACACTTTTGAGACTTCATGGAATTTACCTGTAAGTCAAGGCCTGTCTTTTCAGTCCATTTTCCAGGCATTATCCTGTTTGCAATATCCCTGTTGATTACACACACACAAAAAAATATGATCTTTGTATTTGTTTTTTTACATTTGCATTTTTTGCTGTATAAAAACCTTTATGCACATTTAAATCTCTAGAACAGTTTCTCAAACTGAGGTTCTTAAAAGAGCTAGAGGTTCTAAAATTGTTTAAATATGGCTTGCAACCATGTACATAATATTAACATAATATTGATTAAAAACAAGAGCTCAAGTCATATATGGATCACCTAGTACTTTTTGTAACCTCTGAGAAACCTGTTCTACAACCCAAGTACAAACCTTCATGCATATAAGAAAACAACATCTGAACAATGCATGCAATATGAAATTCATGAAATAAGTCACAAAACTGTGACCATAATCAAACAACTGAGCATACAAGCATTCTCAGTTCATACAGATGTCTCAGACCATAGGCTTCACAATGACACAAAGGTGTTTAAATCTAAGAGGTCATCTCTGATGCAAAAGGTCTGAGAAACCTGAAGTATATTAGAACAAGTACAAACCTTCATGCAATTAAGAAAACAGCAACAACTGAACAATCTCTGAAATAAGATGATCTTGCCACGTAGAGACAGTTCATATGAACGTGACCATTTATGATCAAAAGATATTTAAAATAAAATCATCTAAAGACCTCAACAGAGCTTTGTATCTCTGGGCACCAAATCCAAATGGTGTCTCAGAGCATTTAGAGTCTAAAAAGAGAATTTCTTTCTGGACTGGCTTCAAAATCTAAAGAAAATGTACAGTATTGATTTTTCTTAGATTACATAAACACAATCTGCCATTTTATATTTTCACATTCGACAAAAACAACACATGACTGAAAACACATGAAAAGTTATTTTAAAATGTGTACATTTACATCTATTTGGTACTTACTGCAGTTTTGCATACACTGAAATCAAAGCACTATGGTCATTACAAGAAAACACATTTTTTTAATCACTCAAATGCAGTATGAATACGTACACATAACTGGTAGTGTCCTGGTGTCCAAACCGTAGCTCTGGGACCAGGCTAATTCTTCTGAGTACATCCTGGGGGTCTTTCATGTTTGATTCATGAAGTTTGTCATACAACACATAGTGCTCAGATGATCCAGTTATGGGATGGCCTTTGGAATTCAAATTGTCTGTTTTCTCAAACAACCAAGGAAGAGACACCTTCAGTTTGCCCTGCTTTGCTGAACTGATGTTTTCTGGTGTTGGCTCAGCTAGTCTCCCTTCGTGTGGATAAAATGGGATAGCTGTAGGTACACGTAAATTGCCATGCATGGCCAAGCCTCGTGCAAAATCATATACACTAACATTAGGAATGTGCTTCCACGACAACAGCAGGTCCGCAAAATCTCTGGGACTCTCGGCTCTCAAATTAAACTTTATGCTATACACCACACCATGTGGGCATAGGATGACTGACCAACCACCTGGAAAAGCCTTAATACAAAATTGAATAAGGAAATGTAAAATTGCAATTTTTCAATTGTTATCTCATTAAAGTACAATATCATTACTCCCACCTGATGCTCACCAGATTTTCTGGAACATTTAGTCATAGGACTGTCTGTTCTGCATCTCTGCTCGTAATCTTGAAATGAGATCCATACGAGAACCTTTCGAGTCAATATTACAGGCCTTGCAGAGTTTTCTGACAACACCAACCTGTTATATAATGTAAGCACATAGTCAGGACAATCCTTTCAATAAAGGGCACATGATCCAACTGTAGTTGAATTTTATCAAGATTGATACCTTCTGCTTCATCAGCTCATCCACGAGACGGTCTTCTGACACATTCATCATTTGAACTTCAGCTGACGTGACCTTTGCTGTTGCAACTTTTGCAAATTCTGTATTCAGTACAGTGTGATCCATCCTAGTTTTGGGTCCTATCTATGGAGCCCACCTAGAATAACTACGTTGCACAGCAAATGGATTTTTGGTCCAGCCTGAGACAAATACACATATTTAGAAGTCTACATTATATAAACATTGAGACAAAGTGCAATTTTATTGTGGTTTAAGAGAGAAAACACTTACTGGGAACAAATCCTCGAGCGATCATCTCAAGATTGACTGATTTCCAGAAATCCTCAATGTCTACTTCCCCTCTAAACTCATATATATATATATATATACACACACGTATATGTATGTTTTTTTTTAAGCGAGTGACCTCAAAGAGCCTCCACCTGAGTTTAGAGGGGAAGTAGATATTGAGGATTTCTTCTCGAAATGACAGTACCCATGGAGTATGGAGTATGGTGTCTCTGTTAGGGTGTTTTACTCCCCGTAAGCCCTCCAAAGTGTCTATAGCCCTGGAAACTGATACGTGGTTCTGGAAAAGACATAATGGGAATGGGTAAATTAAATTCTCTGAATGGCTTCTTTATTGGATGGGTACATTAGTTATAAAACACTACATAATAAAGACAAACCTGTAAACTGTGTCTTAGATACAGACAAAGTTCGAGACTCAAAAGCACATGATCATCAAAATTGTGGAGACCATCCTGCCATTCCTGGTACCTATATATCATATTACACCCTAGGCATCTTCTGGTGTAAGTAGAGATGCCTAAAAAGAGTAAAAATAAATTATGATACAACCTTTTATAAAGCAGAAACATAAACAAATGTTTTGCTTAGTTCTGAGCAGTTTCTTTTAATCTGAATAATGAACGTATATATTTGAATATTAAATTTACCATCAATGATACTTTCCATGGTTACAATTTTAGCTTTCGCAGTAATCAGTGCTGGCTCATCAAGTGCAATTTCACCATCGCAGATCATACAAGTTGTCTCCACTGGAAGATACCTTGACGGAAATGTGTTTGATTTGGCCGCTGCTTCTGGGAGATTACCTGGAATTTTCTTTTTGTTATATATATATTCCACGGTGCTTTGAAGGTCAATTGGGGGAGTGTCGATGAGCTCATCTGAGTGCTGTGGACACAAGGTGTCACTCGATTTAGTAGCTTTCTCTGTTGTGAATAAGCTCTTATTTGTTTGGAATAAGTGCCATTTGGCAATGTTTTTGTGAGGGCAAGACATTCTGGGCTTTGCACATGGGCAGTGCCAAGTACCAGCAGAGGAATTGTATGTGACCATTACTCTTCCAAGGCGATTGTAGTGATGAATAATAGGCTCATGTATGGAGAGGGTGATTTGCTCTTGAGATTTACCTAATGCCACCAACACTGAAAATGGGACATGAGCTGCCTGTGCTGATTTTTGCCTCTTCAAACAAACTGCCTTCTTTGCTTCTCCTATGAATCTGAGCTTCACCATCTCATCAAGGACACTCAATTCCAAGTGCTCCTCAAATGCTGTTTCACAACAATAATCCAGTGAACGAAGATGTTCACAGAGACTAAACGTGTGTCCACTCCAGTGAGCAAGTAGCTGGTATTGGCGACATTCCTATAAAAAATAGAGGACAGAGGAGCCAGTGCAGGTGTCACTGCAGCCAAAGGAACTAGTCAAGTCAAGTCAAGTCACCTTTATTTATATAGCGCTTTTAACAATACAGATTGTGTCAAAGCAACTGAACAGCATTAATTAGGAAAACAGTGTGTCAATAATGCAAAATGACAATAGTAAACACTAATTTTTCAGTTAAAGGCAGTTCATAATTGAATTCAGTGATGTCATCATCCAGCTCAGTTCAGTTTAAATAGTATATTTGCAATCATTTGCAATCAAGTCAACGATATCGCTGGAAATGAAGTGTCCCCAACTAAGTAAGCCAGAGGCGACAGCCCAGGTGTCATTGTGGACAAAGGAACCAGGGCAGGTGTTGTTGCAGGAGGTAGTGGAGACAGTGCAGGTGTCAATGCAGATGACAGAGGAGCCAGTGCAGGTGTCGTTGTGGGCAAAGTAACCAGTGCAGGTGTCACTGCAGTCAGGGGAATCAGTGCAGGTGGTGTTACAAATGACAAAGGAACCAGTGCAGGTGTTGTTTTAGAGGGTTGTGAAGCCAAAGAGGATGAAGAAGGTTGGATGGGTACATCTGATGATGAGCATATCTGAAGGTGAGCTTCCATAACATATCTCCTGAGAACAGTTTTGCTGCAATTGGGGCAATGGTAATGAGCCTCAGTTCTGCAGGGCAAATGGCAACGACATAATCTTTTGTCTGTAGATAAAGCACAGTATGAAAATCAAGACCAACAATACCAAAGCATTAATAGAAATCAATACTCAGTAAATCTTGAAAAATCAATCAATAGCCAGACGATGACAATTAGGTACAGTAACTTTGAAGTCTTTATTTAAATAGTGGTTTTCACAGCACAAATTGTTTCAGAGCAGCACACTGTAATGTTTAATTTCAGGACAATTATGTATGACTGTGTTTGAGCCTCTATAAGTAAGCTACAATTACAGTAAAATAGGGTAATGAACCTACCTTGGAAAACAATTGCCTTTTTTAAATGGCCTTCCCAGTGTTGCTTGATTTTTTTCAGGGTGGTTGGCTTCAGAGCAGGGCATAAACTGCAGTGATACATAGTGCAACATGAGGTGCACTGTGGCACCAGGGGGTTTTCCGAAACTAATAATATTGATTGATGCATCTGTAGGAGCAGGATAGAAGAAACCAGTTATAATCAAACACCACAAAATATCAAATGTGGTGTTTTACAATATGTTTCACACTACCTGTTTTGCTAATAAAAACACCACATTTAATTGACATCCATTTTAGTTATAAAATCAGTAACGCCACAATCACTTCCACTAAACTATAACTTTACAGTTGTTTACGTGTAAGCCATATAATTAACTTACGACAGCATATATACCATTCTGTTCAGTAGCTTATCTTAGTTTAGCTGTATTTAAGATAGTGACGGAGTGGTTACATGGTTGGCTAGTTAGTAGGCTATTCAATTAATGTACATTTTTAAACACAAACAGTGAGCAGCGAATACGTTGACAAACATAATTTTGCATATCATACTGCATAAAACGTATAATAAACACACACAGATACATATATGCACTTACAGCAATGATTCTTGAACGACTTCGGAAGTTATTCTCAATCCAACACGTCCCACTATACGCTAATTGCAAATGGCGCAGGTACCGTATAGGCTTAGATCTCTGCCACAATTCTGCGTGCGAAAGATCATATTTTGAGCGCACAAAACTGCATTTTGCACGCGCGCGATCTGAGTTTTGTGGAGAAAACGTACGTTTCGCAAAGAAAAAGGTATTTCGAGCGCACGAAAATCTATTTTCCATTTAAAATAAGTTTTTGAATGTGTGCAGACCTTCTCTTTTGCTCGTGCAACGTTTCACTAGCTTGCTCCCCCACTAACCTGACACCTTGTACTTCTGGAGACTCCAGGTAGGTTGCAGTTCTGGAAAATGGTGGCGCTGGAGACTAAATGGTTCCTGGTGATTTCACACCTAATTCTTCACCTTAATTCCTAATTATTTTGCAGTTAACATGCATCTTTTCTTCTCCACATGTTTTTGGCTGACCCTGCTGACCCACTGAGCATTTTGCTGTCCAATGGTTATGCATTAACTTTGCCATTTCTAGTATTGTATTAGTTTTGAATATTTCTCATGGGCATTTCATAATTTTTGCTTTCAGTCTGAGTTAAATCTCTTTTTTGGCTCATTTTATCTGTAAAAGAAAATCTGCTTAATAATTATGCACACCTGAATATAAGACATTTTTCACTTCCAGCCTTAAGAAGGTTGGATGGGTACATCTGATGATGAGCATATCTGAAGGTGAGCTTCCATAACATATCTCCTGAGAACAGTTTTGCTGCAATTGGGGCAATGGTAATGAGCCTCAGTTCTGCAGGCCAAATGGCAACGACATAATCTTTTGTCTGTAGATAAAGCACAGTATGAAAATCAAGACCAACAATACCAAAGCATTAATAGAAATCAATACTCAGTAAATCTTGAAAAATCAATCAATAGCCAGACGATGACAATTAGGTACAGTAACTTTGAAGTCTTTATTTAAATAGTGGTTTTCACAGCACAAATTGTTTCAGAGCAGCACACTGTAATGTTTATTTTCAGGACAATTATGTATGACTGTGTTTGAGCCTCTATAAGTAAGCTACAATTACAGTAAAATAGGGTAATGAACCTACCTTGGAAAACAATTGCCTTTTTTAAATGGCCTTCCCAGTGTTGCTTGATTTTTTTCAGGGTGGTTGGCTTCAGAGCAGGGCATAAACTGCAGTGATACATAGTGCAACATGAGGTGCACTGTGGCACCAGGGGGTTTTCCGAAACTAATAATATTGATTGATGCATCTGTAGGAGCAGGATAGAAGAAACCAGTTATAATCAAACACCACAAAATATCAAATGTGGTGTTTTACAATATGTTTCACACTACCTGTTTTGCTAATAAAAACACCACATTTAATTGACATCCATTTTAGTTATAAAATCAGTAACGCCACAATCACTTCCACTAAACTATAACTTTACAGTTGTTTACGTGTAAGCCATATAATTAACTTACGACAGCATATATACCATTCTGTTCAGTAGCTTATCTTAGTTTAGCTGTATTTAAGATAGTGACGGAGTGGTTACATGGTTGGCTAGTTAGTAGGCTATTCAATTAATGTACATTTTTAAACACAAACAGTGAGCAGCGAATACGTTGACAAACATAATTTTGCATATCATACTGCATAAAACGTATAATAAACACACACAGATACATATATGCACTTACAGCAATGATTCTTGAACGACTTCGGAAGTTATTCTCAATCCAACACGTCCCACTATACGCTAATTGCAAATGGCGCAGGTACCGTATAGGCTTAGATCTCTGCCACAATTCTGCGTGCGAAAGATCATATTTTGAGCGCACAAAACTGCATTTTGCACGCGCGCGATCTGAGTTTTGTGGAGAAAACGTACGTTTCGCAAAGAAAAAGGTATTTCGAGCGCACGAAAATCTATTTTCCATTTAAAATAAGTTTTTGAATGTGTGCAGACCTTCTCTTTTGCTCGTGCAACGTTTCACTAGCTTGCTCCCCCACTAACCTGACACCTTGTACTTCTGGAGACTCCAGGTAGGTTGCAGTTCTGGAAAATGGTGGCGCTGGAGACTAAATGGTTCCTGGTGATTTCACACCTAATTCTTCACCTTAATTCCTAATTATTTTGCAGTTAACATGCATCTTTTCTTCTCCACATGTTTTTGGCTGACCCTGCTGACCCACTGAGCATTTTGCCGTCCAATGGTTATGCATTCACTTTGCAATTTCTAGTATTGTATTAGTTTTGAATATTTCTCATGGGCATTTCATAATTTTTGCTTTCAGTCTGAGTTAAATCTCTTTTTTGGCTCATTTTATCTGTAAAAGAAAATCTGCTTAATAATTATGCACACCTGAATATAAGACATTTTTCACTTCCAGCCTTCATGAATAATTATATATCAATTATAAATTATTAAATACAAGATTAATAGTAGTTATTAAGATTGATGCATTTTGGAATTGGTAAAATGTGCTTGGAAAAAAATAATTGTGAGATTGTGAGCAGAATTGTGGCAGAATTCTAATCCCATAAACGAGTAGCTGAGAATCTCTTCAGCAAGCCGACACGGTGAAACGTTGCACGCGCAAGAGAGGTCTGCACACATCCAAAAACTTATTTTAAATGCAAAATAGATTTTCGTGCGCTCGAAATACTTTCTTTTTTTTTGCGAGACAAACATTTTCTCCACAAAACTCAAAATATGATATTTCGTGCGCAGAATTGCGGCAGAGATGCAATCCCATAGTACCGAAGACTGCAGGTGCCGATTGCAAGTGACGTCACTTGCAGAGGAAGCGCAGATGACTGAGAGTGCAAGTCTGAGAGTGCAACTGCAAGGCTTCAGCCAGACCCTCTTGCATCATTCTGCACCCTAGATGTGCATAAGAGCTTTGTGCCGCTCTGTTTGAAGCGTTTCACATTATCAAAGTTTTACACACAGAAAGATTATTAGAAGCTTTTATTTTTCTCATGATTTCTCTTATTTTCATGAATGTATTTTGTAAGAAGACAAATAGTTAACAGAATAAACGTTTAAATTGTATAATGTGCATCAAAGATTTTTTTTCAAGATATTGTTTTTGCTGCTAAATTATACGGTCAGCTAGTTTAATTTCATAGTTATTCAAATGTAGTTTTTCTCTGTAATGAGGAAGGTGAGTATTTAGTGGATTATGTTTAACAAAGGGTTTAAAAAAAGAGAGACCATTAGTTCCACAAACACAGTGTTGATATTCTGTAGTGGTGTAGAAAAAAAATAGTGCTGGTGTTGGATCGGTATTGGCCAATTCTTCGAATTTGGAATTCTCTATGTAATCTTACACTGCAAAATAATAACTCAAAAAAGATTAAAAGATAACATCATAATTATTTACTGAACCCTTAAATTAATCACAATTATATAGTGAAAGCCATAAAAACAACAACAACATACAATTAATCGCGATAACCGTGATAATCGCCAAAGCCCTAAAAACAGACAATTAATCGCAATAACTGTGACTATTTTTAGACAATTAATCGTCAGCCAAATGTCATAATCGTGAGAGCCCTAATCGCAATTATACACCTCAATGTCCTACCAGTGTGTGTTACTGTGTTTTGTTAGTATGAGCTAATACTGTTAGCTGCGGCTGGGCGATATATGACCATGTCGTGGCGATGATATGAAGCGCAATATATAAACTCATAGCACAGTACTACTTAAAGTTATTGACACTTTGATAAAGAAATGTGCATGAATGAGGAATAAATAGCAGGATTTATTAAGATAGCAACGGGTTGACGGTCCAAATTTCAGTTTCAATGCTGCTTCAAAGGGCTTTACACGATCCCAGCTGAGGAATAAGGGTCGCTGGGAACTTGTAAAGCCCTTTGAAAGATGCATTGAAACTGAAATTTGGACCTTCAACCCGTTGGGTCCCATTGAAGTCCATTATATGGAGAAAAATCTTGAATTTTTTTCTCAAAAACTTTAATTTCTTTTTGACTGAGTAAAGAAAGACATGAACATCTTGGATTACATGGGGTGAGTACATTATCAGGAAATATTCATTCTGGAAGTGAACTTGTCCTTTAAGTTGAATATATTTAATTTTATATTTTTAATGTTGAATAATTCAACATTTTGATGAAACTGTTCTATGTTCTTCATCAGTACAGTATTTTAAAGGGGTAATCAAGACTTTGTAAAAGAGCATAATAGGACCCCTTTAAATGTAACTGTGCTGTATTTCTTTTAAAAAACTGAGATGTAAAATTTTAATTTTATAGGGCATTTGTACAGACTTTGTATTTTGTCTTCCAAATAAAACTGTTAATCATCTTGAGCATGCTTTGACACTATATTGAAGGTTTTTGATTGTAATGATTTGTAAAAGAACAGTGTTTCTCTGTAGAACATTTAGTGCTTTCATTGTAATAATCTAGGAAAAATCTGTAAAAATAAGGGTTTTACACTGTAAAAAAAGTCCCGTAAAAAATTCCAAACAAAAATCGTAAAATTCAAATAAATTATCGTAATTGAAACAAGAAAAAATCTGCAAAATAAGGGTTTTACACTGTAAAAAAAAGTCCCGTAAAAAAATGGTAAATGACTGGCAGCTACGGCTGCCAAACAAAAACCGTAAAATTTAAGTAAAATATCATAATTGAAACAAGGAAAAATCTGTAAAATATGATTTTTTCTGTAAAACCTTTAATGAAAATTACTGTAAAATTATTATTTTTGCACTTTATTTCAATTAAGATATTTTACTTTCATTTTACAGTTTTTGTTTGGCAGCCGTAGCTGCTAGTCATTTACACGTTTTTTAGTCATTTATAGATGTTTTCTCCAGAAGTAAATTGAGTTCCCTTTCATGGGAACTTCGAACTGCGTCCTCTAGGGGTCGCTTGAGAAATGCTTAATGCTTATCAATTTAACTAATCCATAATTTAAAAAAATCTAATTTAAGATTTTAAATGACTAAATTTACTGTAGATTTAGTAACTCCTGAAAACTCTTTCCACATTGAGAGAAGGTGAAAGGCTTTTCCAAGGTGTGAATATGCACATGCTCATTAAGTTCTTTTTTTCTGTGTGAAACTCTTTCCGCACTGAGAGCAGGTAAAAGGCTTTATTCCAGCATGAATTAACATGTGATTCTTAAGGGTTTCTTTACGTGACAAAGTCTTTCCACACTGAAAGCAAGTGAAATTATTTTCTGAGGTGTGAATATACGCATGTTCATTGAGTTGTTTTTTCTGTGTGAAACTCTTTCCACACATAGAGCCGGTGAAAGGCTTTGTTCCCTCATGAATTATCATGTGATTCTTAAGGCTTCCTCTACGTGACAAAGTCTTTACACACTGGGAGCAGCTGAAAGGCCTTTTGACTTCTTTTCTTTGAATGTTGCGTTGTGAGCAACTGTTTCCAGTTTTTGAGAAACTCACTGATTTTTCTTCAGTGGTGACATCATGATCTTTCTGATCCTGATGCTTCTCCTCCACTTCATTCAGATCTTGTTCTTCTTTCAATTTCATCAGGCCTAAAATGAAAACATTGAGTGATGAAAGTGATGAAAATCAATTGGGACATTTGGAGAACAAAAGTAAATTATGGTACATTCACACAATGACATTGTACTAAAACCAGAATTTTTCTTTGCATTTTGCTGACAGGCCAGTAGATGGCAATGTCACTTTGTAAATAAACACTATGTGCCTATAGACTGAACACGTAATACACATGCGCATGAAGTCACTGTTTCCACAAATTTGTATTTTTGTAGCGTGTAAACTTTGGAATTTGCACTTTGACACCTGTTTTCAAAAGTTTGCATTTTCAGACGCCCAAACTGCCATTGTAAATGAACAGCCAAAATGCAAAAAAAAGCTGTTTGTTTGATTTGACAATTGTGTCTTGTAAACACCTCTTAAATTAATTCCAGTAGAACTTATGATTTGAGCCAGACCGATATATAATTTTGTCGATTTTATCGGCTGATATGATCCTGTTGCAGATATATCTGTATCGGCGAATATGGCGCAGATATGCCACCGATATGAATTATTATTATTTTTTTTACAGAACATAACACAGATGAAATGCTTCTAAATGGTGTAATTACTTAGTTTGTCCAGCAGAACGCTCTATTGTTTGCTACTGGCGACCCAGGTCACTGTAGTGTAGAGATACGCGGATGAGCTCAAACTTCACACTTCAAGTCCGCTGCTTCAAATTATCCACCCACCCACCCGCACCTATATTTGATTGTCCCATACATTTTTAACAGCAGACCTTAGAGCTGATCTATGCATCACTGCATGCGTCTGCGGCGCACCGGAGCTGATCGCGGCAGTCAATGCTTGTGTTTATACCAGCCACGCCGTGTCCCAGAACTCATGCTTATCACATCGGTCACATCACATTTCCTAAGTCAGCATAGTGTCAGTACTACAGTCAGTAACATAGCAGATTAAAAAGTTAGTATCTTTCTGCAATCCAATAGACTGCAGTGAGGTGGTGGCTTAATTCTGTTGAATGGTGATTTAACACTACAGAGCCGCAATGCTATAAAGTAAATAAACAATGTCCCCATCTTTTACTCTCACAATAAGCTTATAATACTCCTTTGCTACATTAGTAGGACCCTATGATTTCCGTGATGCAGAAAACACGGACGGAAGCGCGGAATCCAGTCATAAAAAGGGAAATTACTGTAGGCCTATAATGCGGAATTTCACGGAATCTGTCATATTTTGATGAATAAATAAAAAACAGGTCAGTACACTTAAATCAAATCACGATATAGACTAGTGTCTGTGAATATTAAACTGCAAAAAGACTATTTAAATACAAATCCTCATGTTCTGCGTGTTCATTTGATTACCAAAAAATACACAATGTAGTGAACAGTGGTCAAGATGGCAAGACTCCTTTCCACACAACAAGTGGAAAGTTATGTTCCGATGAGATCAGGCATGTGGACAACAAAGGATGCCTTTTGTTTTAACATAACAACACTACCTCTTGTGGAGGGGGGGTGGTTAACATTAACATACAGTAACCCCCAGGCAGGAAATGCCTTGGTCTTCCTCAAACTTATCATTTGTGGAAGGATAAGGATGTCAGCATTTCATGGATCAAAGACTGATCCAATCACTATGTGGTCTTTCACTGATCGCAGTTCTTCATTCTTGAGACCTAAGTGTGAACAATCACTCACTACCTCAGACTGACCAAACCGGTTTTACCTTGTGGAGAGGGGGGGTTAACATTAGGGATGGCTCGATACCACTATTTCAGAACCGATACCAAAAATTCGGAGTATCTGCCGATACCGATATCGATCCGATACCAGCGCAGTTTTTATAAATGACTGTAGAATTTCTATACCTCAATGTGTAGGTCGATCATCACTCTTTTGTATGTTACACACAATCTACTAAATATAGGCAGCTTCATTATAAAGAAAACATAAACAAAAATATATAATAAAAATCTGACAAAAATAATATTATAAACTAGGTTAATGGATAATTCAGTAGCAAAAGTTACTCTAGAAAAATCATGAGTGCACAATAATTTGATAAAATCCTAAACTTTTCGTGAAAAAAAATACATTATTTAGTGGGTAACAAATAAAAGTGAATAAGTGTAGGGCTATATCTGGAAGGCCTACACATTGCTCTTTGTATTGTTGTAAAATACATTCATGAAAAACAAGCAATATATTTATATATAAATATATACTATAGTAGTCAACATTTGAAGTGGATCAAAACCTTTCATCAAAGTTGTCCTAAAACCAAAACAATACCCGTTCTTGTCTTAGGACAACTTTGATTAACTTTTTTGATCCACTTCAAATGTTGACTACTGTATAAATTAAACAACATTTCTTTTAAATGTATAGCAGAGTAATGAGGCAGCAACATATGACAGATAAGATGAACAAGAAAGGCTATTAATAATCTTTCATTGCGCAAAAGTATTATGATACTAAAGGCTACAGAGCGGCTCAAAGCTTGAAGCAACACGGAGTCACAGCGCGCAGCATAGAGAAGTTAAAAGCACAAAGTGAAGAGATATTGATGCGTAGTGTATTAAATATGTGCGCTAGTTTGAGCCTTTTCTTTTAACAGTTTTACATTTCAGTTACTGTGCTCGTGACGAACAATTCATAGTGCTCTCTACTCCAGTCTTGTGCTCTATTAATTTGGTCTGTTACGATGCTCTATGTGTTTGACTACTAATGCCTGTGTAGTACAGTGTTGCACACAGAGGACAAAAATGTTCAGCCTTGACTCTTTATCGTCATTTGTGTTAAAATTTGCAAAGTGTACCAAATTGAACAAAACAATATAAATGCAAATTTTGAATTCATGAATATATAACGATATCCACAATATAGCAAAATCCATATCATGGAACAACATAATACCGGTACTCACTTTCATACTGGTATAGCACCCAACCCTATTTTAAAGACACAAATACACAGAATGAGCAAATGTTTAAGATTGAGATTTTTGTAATGGTGATTGATCAATGTTTATATGCATGTAAATAAAAGCCTATATTAAAATCTGTTCATCATATAAAGGGAATGTGTCTTTTTAGAAGACTTGGATTAAACCAATTTCAAAACGTTGAAATAACGATTGCCTTGAAAAAATGGATGAATTTTTTTTTTTTTAATATCTATATGGCAGTATACAGTACATGTATGTGGTAGTTTTGCCAATGGTATGGAAAATGATTAGTCGTCATGAAATCAAAAATGACCCTACTTACTTTTTTAGTGCACATTACTAGTCTTGTGGTGAACAATTGAACCATGCAAGTCAATACACTTGAAAAAATTGTCTGCCGTCGCTTCCGCTCTGGAATGGCGTTCTGGCTCTGATGACGTCAGTTTGACGGCTTCGGGAGAATCCTCTTGTTAAGTATGACGTAAGGACGGCCTCTACTCATTTCACTTGAGAATACCATCTCAACAGACATTTATGAGCACTATTTAATTAATATTACATATTTAAGCTAAGCATTTAAAAATTTGCTGTGTACACTACAGTCTCCATGCTCACAGTGTCTCAGACACTAATATTTTAGCTGAATCACTGTCAGGCTATCTGGGATTTCAGTATGGAGATAAAGGTTAGGGTTATAATTTTTCAGTATTATATTACATCGTGGGTGTATATTAGCACAGTTGGGTGTTTTCTTGAGGCGTCTGGCAGAGAATTAGGACCCAGAACCGGTGAAGCGTGATGTCAGACGTAACAAACAGATATTCTTAACCACTCCTATCCAACCGTGAATCTGCTTCTGAGCAAGAGGTGGAGTGGAGGTGCACCACAATAAAACCCCGCCCTTTATTCAATGGCAGTATCGGAGCGATACTGATACTGAATATCGGATCGGCGCACCCCTAGTTAACATTATCATACTGTAACCCCCACCCAGGAACTGCTTTGTTCTCCCTTAAGGCCCATTCACACCAAGCACGATAACTATTAAGATAACGATAAAGATATAGTTCTAAAAATCGTTCTCAATATTAAAGAATAGCATAGTTCACACCACAACTACAACGATAACGATACAGAGGAACGATATCGTTGTGATCACTTTCAAAACGATTTTTTTTCCAGCTGATGAACGATAAAACACTGACAGCCAATCAGAATCCATCCTGCTGTAACGAGCTCAAGAATTTAAAGTGGCAGACGCATGTGCGCCTAGAATAAACAGACGATATCGTTCGCTGGTGTGGACGCTAATATCGTTATCTTTATAGTTATCGTTCTTGGTGTGAACGGGGCTTTACTCTTATCAAAGTGTGAACAATCATGTTTTGTCATGTGGACAATGCATTCACCCAAAAAGGACACAAAATTGACTAAACCTTCCTCATATCAATTTACAGAACTGTATATACTTAATGAGTGCTGTGTGTGATACAACAAGGTATGCAACATTACCTATTAAGGTATATAATGTATACATGAATGCATGGGTCAATGCTCAGCATTACCCATTGATGTTTGGTCTTCATATTTTCAGCACAATGTGTACCTCATATCAGAGAGGCCATTCTGTGCCCACCTCTGATAGCATCAGCCAATTAGAATGCTGGATCTGAAAGGTGCCAACTTGCAAACCCTGCCTTCTCAGGGAAGGAATAAAAGGTTCTCCCCAAGACAAAGAAGTGCGCTAAGTGGTGTGGTCAACCGTGTGCTAAGTGATGTGGTCGATCTACTGCTAAGCCAAGAGCTTAGCTGCTCTGCCGGAGAAACAAGGAAGTTCTGCAAGAAGCGAGTTTGGGGAGTTTGGAAACTGCCACAGCGACAACGACCACAAGCTTAGTGCCCCCCCATCTTCTGCAACGACTTCAGAATCTTCTCTTCATCGATCCTCTGCTTGCGGGTTCCAAGCTGCCAGGATCTTCTCCAAGGACTTCAGAATCGTCTCTTCAGCGGTCCTCCGTTTGTGAGTTCCAAACTGCCAGGATCTTCTGCAATGACTTCCGAAAGTCAACGTCAATGATCCTCCCTCCTGCGTGTTCCAGGTAGTCCGGATCTTCTGTACAGACTTCAGAACCTTCACCTTCAAGGCTCCGGTTTGTGTGTTCCAGACCAAAGAACCTTCTCTGTGCTCAGGAGATCATCGTCCACCAGTGCTTTGTGTTCAAGACTGTATAACGGATCCAACTCCTTTCCTTCCACTGCAACGACAAGTGGAAGACGTCGCCGCTCAGACTCGGCACATGACCAGGCAGAACTTTTCCGTAAATATCACTCTTTTCAAACCTCTTTCCAGAGACCGTTGGCATTAGTGTATTGTCAGTTTATGCTTATCTAATTTGCATTAGATTATATATAGTCAGTCAATAACAAATAATCCCTCGATTTATTTGTTGAACCTAGAATAAGGTGAACCTAGAATACCTTATTACTTCCAGGAAACTTTAGTTTATCTTTCCATAAGATAACATCCATAGTAACATCCAACTCAGTCACTTCCATTTATCAATCTTTTGCACTTTATCTATTCATTGTATCCATTTAGTAGTTGTTAGTTACTCTTGTTACCCTTTGTTAATAAAATCTTTTTTTATTACTCTTGTGTCTTCCTTGTGTTGATAATACAGTAAAAAACTACAATTTAACGATATTTCACAAACCCTTCAGATTGGTCAGACTACAACTTCCTATAATTTAATTGTAATTATTATTTATTCAACAGTCTTCCATGATTGTTCTTTATTGTCAAGGTGCAATTCCTTGGCTGGTGCCCCGTAAAATAGTATGACCAAGACTAAATATTAATATTAATATTTAAGCCCAAAGCCATTACACTGCTGGTGCTACCTAAATCTAAAATCATTAGTGGTGCCCCGTGTTAGGCTATCTAACATCTGATATCACTGCAACAACACAGAATTTGTGAAAAAAATATTATTCATGATTATTATTTATTAATTTTAGAGGTTTACGTTTGGAATAGCTGTGCTTCCTGCATAAACCGGCCCCTGTTGGACTGGCAGTAGCTTGTTGCCCTACACAGTTACCTTGTCTACTCATTTTGCATAATAAAGTTTGTTAAATTGTTAAATACCCTGCCTCCATTACATATTTTTGCCACATCATTATAAGTGTGTTTGATCACCACATGTGAGTTATCATTGCTAAAAATGTGTTTATGTATATATATTCCATTTATGTATATACTGTAATCTATATACAGTACCAGTCAAAAGTTTGGACACACGTACTGTACCATAATGTACACAAAGAATATCGACCGATATATTGATACCAAACTTTTTTTACTCCCTAATATCGGTATCAGCCCCAAAAAACCCATATCGGTCGGGCTCTACTTATGATCATTAATGAGGCATTTACACGACACAATTTTCAACAAAAACAGAAAACTTATGCGTTTTGGCCATGCATTTACACAACATCAACAATCTCTCAGGACCTGAAGTGGGACACTCACATAGACTCCATCATCTTTGGGGGCCTTAAAGGATAGTTCACCAAAAAACTTTCTTCAAAATATCTTCCTTCGAGTTCAGCAGAAGAAATAAATTTATACAGGATTGGAACAACTTGAGGGTGAGTAAATGTTTTGAAAAGAAGGTTCAAAGTGCATCTTGTACAGTCTATAGGCATGTATTATTTCTTTGCAAAATGAAGATTCAATGATCTGTGTGAATGGGATCGTTTTAACAACTTTGTTATCTGTATGTGCAACTTTCAAAAAAATACAAACTTTTCAGTTTTTACCCTCAGATGCATTTGGAAGTAATTTACTTTCTTCATCTGTTTATTTGTTCATCTAATTTACATTATTTTACAGATTTTATAACTACAGTCACTAAATCTGATGAGCTGTCTACACGGTATCTGCAGGTATCAGAACATCACATTTAATACTTTTAAAAGCATTAAAAAAATTTAAAAAATAACTAGCTAAATAAATAAGAAGAATAACTGAAAAACTACATGACATATGAGCTATAATTGATTATGTTCATGCATATACATAAAATTTAAGCAAGACTCCATGGACTATGCAACAAAATCACTTGCTCATGTAGACATACAAATGAACAATGGACCTTTTCACATTTCTGAAATGATGTAAACTAGGGCTGCACGATAAATCGCATGCGATATTTAATGCGCATCTTGCAAGTAAAGCCGGTTCTGTAATCAGCGGTAAATCTCCATCACGTGGCTTTCACATGGAGCAGCATTAACTACACAGAGCCGTTGTTCACTGACGAGCTGCGCAAAACCACGATCATATTTTGCGCATGTTTTGCGCAGCTCGTCAGTGAACAATGCGCGTTAAATATCTCATGCGATTTATCGTGCAACCCTAATGTAAACTATAGCAGGGTAGGGCTGGGCGATAAATTGATAACGATATACAGTAATTTTCCTCAATAAAACAATATGACAAGTTCGATAAATGTTCAGTATTATGTTTATGTGGCAAAAGCTAAACGCAACAGCACGACTCATTTGATGTGTGCCACATGGAAAGTTTATTTGCTCGGATCAAAGTTCAAATAGCAGCGCAGCGGTTGCGAGCTCACTAGAGCAGATGCATTTACTCGCTGATAAGTCTCGCGAGTACTAAACAACGCAGCGATATCCAGTGTGAAGCGCTTGAATTAGCGAAGAACACAAAAGAGCTTGTAGCACTCCAAAGAGAAAGGAAAAATTGAAATCGCATCACGATTTCCCCTTTAAGTGATTTAAACGAGTTTAAAGCCAGATGAAACAGCGCTGACAAACAGGAGAAAAACTGTGCAACGATAGTCAGAAGGATTTTCAGTGTACAAATCACCATCATTTGCAATAGATTCATTGTAGCAACACTAACTGCACCGTGGTATTGTGTCAGAAATGTGGGTATTTGTATGAAATGTTATTATATTATTAATGTAGACATGTATTAAATGAGTAAAGGAATGTAATTACAGTACTTTTGTGATTAAGCTATCCCAGGTGAAAAAAAGTATACTTGAATGCACTCAAAAAATACTTAAATACCAGAAAGTACATTTATATTTTTTGTGTTAAATAAAATTGTAAAAGTTATACACTATAAACACACTAATTAAAAGTATATTTCTACTTCAGTGCAATCGTAAAAGTATACTAAATACCACTGAGATTTAAATAGATTTGTAGTGCATTGGAATAAAGTATACTACGGCAAAAAATATACAGAGGACTTTTATTAGTGTATTTCTTAAAAGTGTGCTTTGAATGATTTATAAATTAGATCAATGTTAGTACAGTTTTATGTAGTTATCCTAAGTTTAAATTAAATTGATTCATTTAAAATATATTGCTAATGCAATAGTTATAAATACATTTTCCTAACTGTGCTACTTAAGTACACTTAATATAAATACACTAATTAGCACTAACACTTAAACTGATTTTAAGTGTAGTCAGATAAAGTACCAGAAGTGTTTTGAAACTGCATTGCTTAAAAGTGTGCTACAATCGCTTTACATACAATTTTAGTGTATTTTCCTATATACGAGATGCATATCTGAGGAAAAATGCATTGTTGGTCGGTGCCACCTAGCGTGCAGGTGTGAATTAGCAGATCAATCGTTTCGCGCTCTGTGTGAAAGCACCAATCATCTGTGATTCGCCTCGCACTTTCTCATCGCGCTCAGTGTGAAATGGCCTTCAGACTACATGTTGCTACCTGACCCTTCATTGCTTGCCGTCTTTAACAATGTGTGTGCTGTCTTCAAGAATGCGGGACTATCGACTGACAGAAGGTACCATGAGCGTAAACAAACAATGGCTAATGGCGTGTTTTGCTCTGGCTGTTTTGTCCTTAGAAAAGCTCAAGAAAGAAAACCTGACAGTGGACATATACCTGGATTGCATGAAGAGGACTGTATGGACTGTCAATCCTCCAAAGAAAACTTGAGGTAAAATATTGTTTTTATTTGGCCTTTGTTCACTCACTTTGTTGCAGTAGTCCCTTGAGGAAACATCAAATGCAGGAGTATTGTTGCCATAGCTCTACTAACATTTCCTCCATTGTAGGCGCTGGACACACCTACATCCTGTCGCCAGTGGTCACTGCCGCTCGTGTCACCGGAAATTACTAGCTCTCCATTGAAATGAAACGGATCGTGTCGCTTTGTCGCGGTGTTGTTTGTAGTGTGAACGAGGGATTACCTTGCTACTACTAAACATAACCCTGATGTGTTTGATAAATTTTTCAGCATGTTTTTTGCACAATTAAATATAATTGTAAGGTGTTAAAATCACCTGCAAATAAATGAAGAGATTAAATCAATCAGGTTCTCAGCAGTTGACGTTCATTTATGGGACAAAATTGACCGGGCCATAGGTGCAACCCATTTGGGCCCCACATGGGTGTGTTAACTGGCTGATTTCAACGGTAGGTAAAAGTTTAGAAGGAAAAGTCAATATTATAATACACAGAGAAAGAATATGTACATTTGAATTCATACAGTACATATATTTATGTAGTGGTGTGTTGCACGTAAACAGAAAATTCACATTTGCATGTCTATTTTTACACATTTCTTTCATGAAGAGACATACTGTATATAGTGAACAGAAAATTGCCACAAAATGACATCCATCAGAGAGAGGGAAAAATACTATTGCTACAAGTTTCCATCTTTTTGGTAGACATTGGTAGAAATTTGAGTAAACAAATACGTTAGACAGCCTTGATAAGCATAAGAAACTTTGTGTGTGTGTATACAGTATTACATATAAAAATGCACTTTTGTTTTTAATTAAAGATAATTTATAGAATTAATATGGGCTGCTTTTGGTGCTAGACGCTTCATTGGTCATTTTCTGTTTTAAGAATGAGATACAAGGTTAAGAATACGCTGGAAGTTACTTTAATACAAATTGTTTTATCTATTTAACAACATTGCCTACAATAGAGAAAGATGACTTCCCTTATTGAGCACATCTTCACTCTGGTAAAATGCACGTTTTCTTGCATGTTTGGGTGTTGGACTCATGAAAAATAATCACTTTGTTTGCAATTGGCAAAACTGATTTGCTGAAGTCAAAACACAGATGTTAAAATACACAGTTAGCGTGAGTCCCGCTCACTGTGAAGCGGGAGAGAGCTACCAGACGGCAGATGATTCCACTTGGTCTTAAAACCTTCCTCGAAGGGATATGTTCACAAATCAAACACTTGTCCAAAAAGAATTTAGAGTTTGTTATTCGTATGATCTAGGTGGTCATATGGCATATGCCTTAAATATGGGACGATTCCGTATTATACGGAAAGATTGGCAACTCTACTTTTGCCCAGCATGACTTAACATGTGCTTCTTCAGGTTTCCTTTACATATGAAACTCTTTCCACACTGAGAGCAGGCTTTTCTGAAGTGTGAGTTACCAAATGATTCTTAAGGTGTCCTTTCTGTGTAAAAGTCTTTCCACACTCAGAGCAGCTGTAAGGCTTTATTCCAGCATGAATTAACATGTGATTCCTCAGGATTTCTTTACATATGAAACTTTTTCCACACTGAGAGCAGCTGAAAGGCTTTATTCCAGCATGAATTAACATGTGCTTCTTAAGGTATCCTTTACGTGTGAAAGACTTTCCACACTGAGAGCAGATGAAAGGTTTTTCTGAAGAGTGAGTTACCAAATGATGATAAAGGTGTCCTTTCTGTGTGAAACACTTTCCACACTGAGAGCATCTGTAAGGCTTTATTCCATTATGAATTAACATGTGCTTCTTAAGGTGTGTTTTACGTGTGAAAGTGTTTCCACACTCAGAGCAGGTGAAAGGCTTTTCTGAAGTGTGAGTTACCAGATGATTCTTAAGTTGTCCTTTCTGTGTAAAACTCTTTCCACACTGAGAGCAGGTGAAAGGCTTTATTCCAGCATGAATTAACATGTGAGTCTTAAGGTTTTCGTTACGTTTGAAAGTGTTTCCACACTGAGAGCAGCTGAAAGGCTTTTCCTCACTATGACTTCTCACATGTTTCATAAGGCTTCCTTTATGTTTGAATCTGTTTCCACACTGAGAGCAGCTGAAAGGCTTTTTAACTTTTGTTATTTGAATGCTGCAACTCACTGGTTTTTCTTCATTGACATCATGATCTTTCAGATCTTGTCTTTCCTCTTTCACTTTCATCAGGCCTAAAATGAAATCATTAAAAATATGAAAATCAATTGGAACATTTGGAAAATAAAAGGATAAAACATTTGTTTACCGACGAAAACATTGTCAAAATGTTTAAACAGATCCATTAAAATGACTAAAAACACTTTATTATGCTGACAGGCCAGTAGTTGGTGATGTCACTTTGTAAAGAAACACTATGCGCCTATAGACTGAGCATGTAATACACATGCACATGATGTTACTGTTTTTACAAACGGAGATCCCTTTCACAATGCTGTAGACTGTATGCAAAACTTAAAGGGGTGGTTGATTGCAATTTCACTTTTTTAACATTAGTTAATGTGTACTGTTGTTTTTTGAGCATAAACAATATCTGCAAAGTTACGACACTGAAAGTTTGGGCTCCAAACAAAAAAATTGAGTAAGGAGCCATTGGCTCCTATAAGAAAAAAAATGTAGGCGCCAAATAATTCTTTTAGGTGCCACAGAATAAACAAGTTTTATTTATTTTATTATTACTTTTTAACATTTCAATCATACTTTCATGTGTTTATGTCTCATCTTTTCTTGAATTTATCAGCATTTTAATTCCGGCCAATCCGTGATCAGCAGAGTTTACACGTCACGTTTTGGTAACAGTACGGTTCATTTGGAACCTCAACCGAGGTGGTACTAAAAAAAGTACCAGGTACCAGGTACTGTACCCAGTGGAAAACCCCCCAAAAGTGAACCATACCGAACCGTACCGTGCCGTACCATGCAGTGGAAAAGCGGCATAAATGTCTTTTCCAACTTGAAATACTGTATATACAGTAGTCAACATTTGAAGTGAATCAAAAAAGTTCATCAAAGTTGTCCTAAGACAACAGCGCATTTTGGTTTCAGGATTTAGGTAAACTTAGAATCTCGTAGATGTCCTGGGAACTAAGGTTCACTTAAAGTGGGAACTAAACGTCTTTTCCAACTTGAAATATATAGTCACAAAGAATTGTTCATGACACAGAATCTGTACAAATATCATGGACCATAACAAGCATCACTTGGCCACTGAGTGTAGTTTGGGATCCTCCTCAATGCATCCTATAAGTGTTGTCATATGTCTTTCACACATTCAGTCAGTTTTTCTTCATTAGTAAAATGCAATTTTGTAGGAGGAGTTGAATCATGTAGACAACAGGTTAAGTAAAAATATTAACATCCGATAGCGCATACATATAGCAAAATGCTCCTCTTTATTGATATTTTTCTAGCTGACTGATGAGCTTATGGACACCGAATGGTTATTCTGAGGTAAATGTATTATTACGTTGCAATGTTTACAAGCTTTTCACGTTTTTCGCAGTTTGAAACACTGAATGTTTATTAGATTTAACAGATCAATTCCAGAGCGTAGGCCAAAGAATGACTTTGGCTAATTTAACCTTAGTGATGCAAACGTCTAGCGACACAAAATTAAAGCATGCCTCGCGCCTGCCGCATTAAAGAGCGCCAAAACCGTATTTATTGTTTTAATTTCGTTATGAATTTGGCATAATTTTAAAGCTGATACTTTGTTTATTAAAAAGTAACAAAGCTTTTTGTGATTAATGGATTGCAAGTGTGGTGACTCCTCCCCAAACTGTTCTCCTCCCCAAACTGTTCTCCTCCCTTTGTTGATCCACCATTACTGTTAATCACGGCCATCGACCGCTACTGCTTGTGGGTTTATAAGAGAAGATGCGCTTCTGCTGGATGGTAAAGTAAGTAAAGTTTCAAAGTCTTAGTATTTATTTTAATAATATTCTCCTCAGTTTTGAGCTCAGATCATTTTGCCACGTTTTTTGAACATTATAATTGAGATCGCTTCTCATGTTAGCTTGAGAACTAAATTAGGCAAAGTTATCTTGAAAGCAAATAACTGTTAGCTAACATATACAGTATGAACATTAAGAACGTTAATTGACACCAGTGAAACTAGCTAGCTGCCTATCAATTGTCTGTCCACTAAACTATTGTGACGAGTGGTTCAAGTTGTGCACCACATGTACTTGACTCCGTAAAGAGTTAAGTTAACCTTAGCCTTAATTGTAGCATTTTGTTGGAGCATTTTGATGTGTATTAGCCCTATTCGGACGGTATGTTAACTGTTTCTCATGGGAACGTAAGGTATTTTCAACATTTACAGGGGCTAGTCTGTGATTTTATTGCAGAATGTCGGTGTTTCAATTCAAATTTCACCGTTTGAATCCTTTTTGACCACTGCGGAACACCGTACGATAACTTTTGTGCTTCACTGTAATTTGCATGCATTTTTAATGTACACTTTTACTACTGAAATGCTGGGAAGCAGGCTATTTACAAGAACAATATTTCATCAGCGCTCCTCCTCAGCCAGAGGAGAAAGAGGGAAAAAAACACATTCCCAGGTTTGTAGGATCACAAAACTCACTTCTCCGACATCATTCTGAATACATGGGTTTTATCACTGATGTGCCATGTAGATTTATTTTTACAGACATCCACATGAGAAACCATTACCGTCCGAATAGAGCTATTGAGCACCATGCTTTAACAGAACTATTGGACAGTTATTACAAATTAAAAACCCATTAGTGAACAAAGATAACGCATGTTGTGTAGTGCACTAATGAATGTTCTTTTCATCATCTTTTTTTAACCTCTGAACGGAGTAAAATAGTACAAGAGTTAATTAAAAAAAACACTAAACAGAGTCAAATATAACAGGAAAGAGTAAAATATTAACACTAAATTGAGCAAAATTAACTCTGGAAAAACAACTCTATCAAAAGAGTAACTTTTGATCTCTCTCGCTCTGCACAACTGAGCTGCGTTTAACAGGTGTGCGTCAGCGCTGCTGTGCGGCAGAGATGAGGACTGTTTGAAACTCTTTTTTCCACTAAAACTTTGATGCGCATCGTCTCAGTTTAATACGTGAACATAACAAAAGATGTGATCGCAAAACGATCAGGAAAAAAGGCATTACATGCACATTTTTAAGTCATAACATGTAAATATATATAGTCGCCAGTGGCGACCTCAGCAAAAACTTCACTCGCAAATTAATATTTTTGGTCGCAAATGCGACCGTTTTAGTCGCAGTCTGGAGCACTGTTCAATGCAAACGGAGATACATCTTTTAAAATTATGGCAGTTTAATGCCTACAAAAATGGCTCGTAGGGACTACAACAAGCTACCTTCTTGGGTTTGTGACTCACAAAACTTGATAAACTGAATTTTCTAAAGCAGCGCAACATGCAGAGTTTAGCTCCAACCAGCTGCAAATCACACCTGGGGGCTGTTTCCTAAAACTAGTTTACCAAATAAGCCAGGCTTATTTCAGTTAGTCTGACTTATTTTCACTTGATTTGGGTTCATAAAGCAAAATTACCATAGCTCAAGCTCAGTCACTGTGGCAACTTATGCTGGGAAACTAACCTGGTCCGGAGCAGGCTAACTGTCAGGCTAAGCTGAGCTCTTCTACTGACCAATAGGAACGCATCAATATTACCACTGACTCTCTCACATACAATTAGTTGACTTTACTATCAGTCCAAAAATAAAAGCATACAGAAAATGCAACTTAAATAATCAAATAAATAAAAAATAGGCTACAACTGACTGTATTTAATGTATTGTGCCCAAAATGTAATGACCTTTTTTTTTTTAAAGATATATGAACACATTTTAACTAGGGCTGGACAATAATTCAATATCAATATGTATCGCGATATAATTTTTTTCAATAACGGTGATATGATTTTTAAACACATTTCCGATATTTCGATATACATTACCAGTGTTTCCCATACATTGATTTATTTGTGCCGTTTGACTTCGTTGAATAAACATGAGCACTGCACGTTTCAAAATCAAAAAATGTCGCGGGTGTTTTATATAAATGTATCTGTGAAGGGAACCGACTGTCTTCAGAAAAGTTTCAATGACATTTTCATTTTATCTGATAAAGTAGCGTTCATAGCTGCTGTGATTACAGCCGTTACCAGGCAAACCGCTAGTTTTATCACTCTAAAAGCGCCTCCTGCTGGCAGAGAATGAGTTTGGATTTTCAATAAACCCGTCTCCAGCAACATTGTTTTGTTGTTGCT